CCCCCAAACCCCTGCACCTATTGCCTTGAAACTTGGCAGGCTTTGTGGCCTCACCATAGGGCACCATCCCTGTAGTTTTGACCCCGCTGTGGCTTAACACATACATGACATGAGTTTTGCTTTCAAGAATTTGGGGTGCAGTTTCCCCTGAATCCTTGCACCTATCTCCTTGAAACGTGGTGGGCTTCATGCTCTCAGCAGAGGCTACCACCCCTGAAGTTTCATCCAAATCAGATGAAAAACAACAAAGTTATAGATATTTCATTGATTCTCTGTTATACCCTGTGGCCGAATCTCTGAATCAGCTTTGGAGCCATTTTGACTGAATGGAAGCAGGAAACCGATTTGGAGCTCCGAATCAAATTGCTGGCATCCAAATCGGCTGACTTTGAACCCGAATCAAATAGTTCCCTATTTGCACAGGCCTAGAGTTTACATCTTCAGGGGCCCAGGAGTTCTGTAAGACTACTATCACCCTCTGTGCAGACCCAAATTAAGTCTAATTTAGGTGCAGAGGAGATTAGATATGGTGGGACCTTTCCATACTGCAAAGCTTAGAAGCTGTAAAGCTACAGGAAACGCCTACTGTACAAAGGTCCTACACCCAGAAGGTGCTCTGCTCGTACAGTGCTTGGTGGACTGGATGGCTAATCTACTATGTGATGGGAAAGATCCCTGTAGCAGTTGGAACTCTTGTAACATCCCACCCCACGTTCCTTGAAACGGCTCATGTCATGCATAGGACCACTCCCACTCCAAACCTTCCAGCTAGAAGAGACTAGAGGCAACTATGATGCAGAGATCTGGATATGGCCCTGAAGTACTGTATTTTCTCACATAGCACACACCTTCAAGCAAGACACACATCTTGTTTCTGGAAGGTTACAGTTGTCTGTACGACACAGTCCTCCCAAAAACACAGACTGTCCAGGAAGTTTGGCATCCCAGGAGACAGTCTGGGTGAGGCAGCAGGAACTTTCTGATGTGACTGGACAGCAACAAGACTAGGCCCCATACTATTGCAAGGGCAGTGGCAACACAGTTACTTCTTTAGTGTAAATAGTTATTGTTAAGCTTTTGGTAAAGAGTGAAGTGTTGTTTCCCCACTATAAGCCTCATCAACAAGATACTACAGACTGTATGTAGATTCATAAATGCTAGGTTCAGAAAGGACCTCAACAGATCATCAAGTCCAACCCCCTGCCTAGG